TTTTAAGTGTTGGTTTCTATTAGGAATGAAATTACCAAATGCTAAAGGCGTTATGTACAACTTGGATTGTTGAATAAACAGTGGATAAAAGTGTTAAAATATATTTAAATAAATAAATAATAATAATAAATAATTTTTTTAAAAAAGGACAAATAACACTATTTTGCTTAATTCAATTACTTTCCGACGTATTCTTGACAAAATTTTGCGAAATAATTGCGTTTTTTATTGAAAAATGTTTTAAAACGCTCGCAAAGAACATAAATTACGTTGTTTTTTATTTAGTTTAGTATATGTATTAATTTTGGTATGTTTTTTAGCAAAAATTAGAGAAAAAACCTTGTTTTAAACTTAAAAACGCAACTAAATGTTTGAAAAAAGCAAAAATAACATCATTTTCGAATTAATTATGTAATTTTTCGGTTTATTTTTGACGAAGTTTTGTGTTTTTGATTGAAAAATCTGCTAAAACCTTTATAAAAGCAACCAGATGATTTTTCGGCTCAAAAACATGCTTAAACTCTCCAAAGAAGCAAAAATAAATTTAGTTTCGTGACAGTTTATTCATTTTTTACCTCATTTTCGACGACAATTTTCAAAATAATTGCGATTTTGACTAAAAAACGACCTAAAACGAAAAAATGGTATTATTTTTGACCAAATTTTTAGCACAATCTAAAAAAGTAAAAATAACACCACTTTTGAGTAAATTTAGCGATTTGTGACGAAAAAATTTTGTAAATTTTTAATTGAAATCGTGCTAAAACACTCAAAAAAACATAAAAAAGGTCATTTTTAACCCAAAATGTTAATTTTTGGGACAGCACAAAATGGACTTTTTTATATTCTGTCGTTAGAATTTCATTTATAAATGTTTTGTTAAATTTGAAATATTTTTATAAAGCAATAGTTATCACAAACTCTCCAAAGAAGCAAAAATAATTTTAATTTCGTTTTTATACTTCATACTTTTTATACTTTTATGCTTCGTGATACTTTTTTACCTCATTTTCGACGAAAATTTTCAAAACAATTTGACTCTGACTAAAAAACGGTCTAAAATGGAAAAATGGTATTATTTTTTAACAAAATTTTTAGCACAATCTAAAAAAGTAAAAATAACACCATTTTTGAGTAAACTTAGCGAGTTGTGACGAAATAATTTTGTAATTTTTTAATTGAAAAACGTGCTAAAACGCGGAGAAAATCATAAAAAAGGTCATTTTCAACCCAATTTGGTAATTTTTAATATGTTTTAACAGAATCTTACAAAAAAAAAACGTGATGTAAACAAGCAATATTCATTATTTTTCACTTAATTTGGTAACTTTTCGGTATTTAAATTAATTAGTTTTACTAAACATTCATTCATTGTCTTTACTGTGCATTTATTATTTTCAATGATTTAATTTGTTTCCATTTGTTTCTATGAGAAACACCAGATACATTTTTCTCCTTTTATTTGCAAAATCCCCTTAAGCCATGTTTCGCAGATCATTTACGTTTGAAATACTTATTATTACGAATTGTGTTATCCTCGTTGAGTCTGGAAGGAGAAAGGTTATAGCATCATAAGGCTGAAATCGTATATAGTTTGCCACTTCTATTTTTCAACCGACAAAGAACATTTTTATGAAATTCTAATAAAATTCTTTGAGAAAAGAAATGCTTTTTAGTAACACTCTTTCAAATGATTATTATCAAAGTTACCGAAGCAATCACTGCAAAAAAATCTGATTTTCATGAGTTGATAATAAATAATCGATTCTCGACACAAGAATAGGTATTTAAATTTGCAACAGAATTAGGGCTTTTTCTTATTCGGATATTTGTAACACTGCATTTGACAACTTTATTCAGTATTGCCAACTTAAACAACAGTTTTTGATCATCCGGTATAAAAGAAGATGCCTCATATTTTTTTATTAAATTATTATACAAAATATCGCTTAACAAAATATTGGCTTTACTTATTAAAAACTTTCATAACAAGCAACACACTCGACACTGCGGGATTTCCAATTATACACAACGGACCTGTAATGCGAGATAATAAAAATGGATTAGCTGAGAGTCAAATTAACGCTAGTGTCCTTAATCTCTGTGTTAAATCATACAAACTGCATAAAAATTAACTGCAATATCACTGCATGATCCGTGTGCAAATATTGTAAACCTTTTATCAACGAAGCAAATAAAATTTTTTAACAATTTTTACATTCTATTTTTTAAGCGGAAATTACCAAGTAAAATTTTGGTGGAAAACCAAGTGTACATTTTCAGAGTTTTTTCTCACATTATGTTCAAGATTTATAAACTTAAAAACTCATTGTTGGCATTAAAATACTCTTTCCATAAAAAATTAATTATTAATACAAGAGAAACTGGTATCAAGAAAAAATTGAAAATTAATCTTTATTTCCGTGATATCTATACACTTGTGTATTAAAGTTCATAATGCAACATGTGGGGTCTCTAGAGACAAGTTTTGACTTTGAACATAAATAACTTAGAATTTAACTTGTACATAGTTTTCATTCCTGTTTATGTCTCATGTGTGCACCACAGCATAAATGAAAATATTTATGCAACTCATGTAATGTAATGGATTTAGTTGAGATTAATATTTCCGAATATTTGTGTAAATTTACTCAATAAATAATTTTAGACGTGTCAGAACTAAATCTAGAGAAACATGCTAAAATAATAGTAATTTCGATTTAATTTAGTAATTTCTCAGTCTGTTTTTAAATGTGTAAATTTATTTCGAAAAAATGCAAAAACATCTTTACATTTTCATTGCTAAAATAACTATTAACTAAACAATAAAAAATTATTGGTTTTTAACGCTAATAATTTAAATTAGATAGTAATTTGATTATCTAACTGTTGGTGTTGGCAGTGTCGCCAGGTTTGGTGAAATTTCACCAGATCTGGTGATTTTCATGTTAGTCTAGTAATTTGGTTTAAAATTTTGTAAAAATTTTAATATCTGGTAATTTTTTGAAAATGAAAAAATCAGTATTTTCCACGTTTTCAATCAGAAACTGATTATTTGGACAATTTTTTCCAAAAAAGTCTAAAATCCACGAAATTGGTTAAAAATAGTTCTCTTTGTTTGCTACAAGATTTCACAAAACAGGACTGAAAATGACAATTTATTTTTTTATTTTTCGAATTCCTTTTTAGCTAGAAACACAAAATTAAAGTAGATAATATTTTATCACTTTGTTTTTTAACCAAAGACTCATTTATTTTGCGAAATCTTGTCCAAACACGCTTAAAAATCACAAAAACAATTGATATTGATGTTATTTTGTTTGTTTTACTCGATTTAACTCGTTTTTAAGCAAAATGAGACAAAAATAAACTGAGAAAACACAAAATTTGGCCGAAAATACTTTTAAGTGCGTTTTTGTACTAAAATCTCAGTTTTTTCACTAGATTTTGCTAAAACAAACTAAAAAATCAAGAAATTAAGTCTAGAATTACATTATTTTTGCATTTCTCGAGCATTTTAGCACGTTTTTCAGCTAGAAACGCAATTATTTCGCAAAATTTTGTTGAAAAACAAGCCGAAAAATCACAGAATTAAGCCGAAATGCTTCAGTTTAAGCTGAATTCTGCGTTTTGATGAATTTTTTAATTCGAATCTGGTGAATTTTATGCTTTTGATTTGGCAACACTGAACAGCGCCCGCCCCTAACCTCTTTTTTATAACCTAAAATTCTTATATAAATAAGCACAGTTTTTGTGTTTTTTATTTTATACAACACTACAATAAGAATAAAATAATAGAATGTCGTCACACGTGGAGCAAACGGCCAAAGATTTTAGTAAATTTCTAACAATCGACATGGACGAAAGGGTAAATCCAATAATTAGTTTTTACCAAATTTACACTCAACATTTAGCTCAAACCAATCAACAAATCAATAGACGATATGCTTGCACGTTTGGAAGAATTTCAAACAATGATTTCTTTCGCTAAACAAGAAAGAATAAACGCCACGGAATTAGTCTCTTCAATACAGAGCAGTAATGAGAGCCTCAATTATTTATTTAAGAGAATTGATTCAGTTGAGAAACTAATACAAGAAGTAAAGAGCACTGTGGATAATTTAGAGACAGATGTGGAAAAAGCAGAGGAGGAAGTGGGAATTACAGAGAGCAAAACCAGGAAGGTGGCAAATATCTTTACACCACTTTTTGTAAGTCACTAGTAGTGGAGATAGAGGGGTTGTGGAACCGCCCTCCACTATTACTTTATAAATGTCTTGGACCCCTAGGAGTGCATTTGGTTAAATTTTGAAGTTTTTAATTTTTTCGATTTTTGTCATACTGTTTATTACCTGTTTTTTACTAACGGACAAAATGACCACGCATGCGTATTATACAGGGTGTCCCAGCAAGTTGAAAAAGTCCATTAGTGACCTTTAAATGGTAAAATTGAAAAATAGGATATTGGTAGATACTAATCTATTCCATCGCTTAAAATTATTTTCAACTATACAGCGTGTCACAAAAATAAGTTACAATACAAACTTGTGTTTTTTTATATGAAACACCATATGTTTCTTAGCGTTTTTTGATGTAGATTTGTATGATAATGTTTTTAAGCTAAACTTTTATTGGTCGATTTTACTTAGTTTTAAAAATAAGACGGTTTTTTTTGACAAAAACTTCAACTTTTTAAAACTTTATTACACAAAAACTAAGACATCTAGAAATATTTTTTTTACTACCGCAAAGAAGGTACAAGCCATAAGGTTGTAACATTTTTTTAGTGTGTTGCAAAGATAAAAAAATGAAGGCGTTTCTTAAAAGTTCAATAAGTTAAAAAATTTAAGTGGAACACCATATTTATTGTTTTTGCATTTAAAAGACTAGTAAATTGTCTGTCTAAAATTCTCTACTTTCAGGTGTTTATAATCAATAACTAAAAAGATATTTAACGTTAAACATTAAAAAAAAAATCGCTATTGTTTTGAAAATTTTCGTCGAAAAAAAAGGTAAAAAATTAATAAACTATCACGAAACTAAAATTATTTTTGCTTCTTTGGAGAGTTTGTGATAACTATTGTTTTATAAAAATATTTCAAGTTTAACAAAACATTTATAAATGGAATTCTAACGACACAATATGAAAAAGTCCACTTTATGCTGTCCCGAAAATTAACATTCTCATTTAAAAGATTTTTTTTTGTTGGTGTAATTTTGAAGCTAGTTCATCGACTTTTCGAAAACGGTTTTCCATATTAACACCATATTTTTTAATAAGAGACGGAATTATCTCGAAATATTTAGACAAAAATATACCGAAAAGTCACCAAATTAAGTAAAAAATAATGAATTTTGCTTGTTTATATCACGTTTTCTTGGAAGATTCTGTTAAAACAAATTGAAAAATTATCAAATTGGCTTGAAAATGATCTTTTTTATGATTTATTTATTTACTCAAAAATGGTGTTATTTTTACTTTTTTAGATTGTGCTAAAAATTTTGTTCAAAAATAATATAATAAATTCTTCCGTTTTAGGACGTTTTTTAGTCAGAATCGCAATTGTTTTGAAAATTTTCGTCGAAAATGAGGTAAAAAATGAATAAACTATCACGAAACTAAAATTATTTTTGCTTCTTTGGAGAGTTTAAGCATGTTTTTGAGGCGAAAGAAAAATCATCTAGTTGCTTTTCCAAACGTTTTAGCAGATTTTTCAATCAAAAGCACAAAATTTCGGCAAAAATAAGCCGAAAAATCACGTAATGATTTCGAAATTGATGTTATTTTTGCTCTTTTCAAACATTTAGTTGATTAATTGATGTTATTTTTGTTTTTTTTTTCACACATTTAGTTGCGTTTTTAAGTCTAAAACAAAGTTTTTTCTTTAATTTTTGCTAAAAAACATACCAAAATTAATACAGATACCAGACTAAATAAAAAGCGACATAATTTATGCTCTTTCTCTTTTCGAGCGTTTTAAAACATTTTTCAATAAAAAACGCAATTATTTCGCAAAATTTTGTCAAGAATATGTCGGAAAGTAATTGAATTAAGTAAAAATAGTGTTATTTGTGCTTTTTTTAAACATTTATTTATTATTATTTATTTATTTAAACATATTTTAACACCTTTATCAACTGTTTATTCAACAATCCAAGTTGTACATAACGCCTTTAGCATTTGGTAATTTCATTCCTAATAGAAACCAACACTTAAGTCTTTTTCAATAAAAGAATATTACTAAAAAAATTGTTTTAAAAGGAAAACATGAAACGTAGCACAGATTTTAAATTTTAAATATTTTTTTTCTCAATTTCTCGTAAAAAATTAGTCGTTCGTTTTTCACAGCTTATTAAGAATGTAAAGAGCTCAACGTTTTCGGATTTTTTCCCAAGCAATTAGTGCATTGGTTGAATTTAAATTAATTTAAAAAGATTTGAAACTGAGACGGTAAATAAACCGCTCTAAGCACCCTCATTTTTGCTTTTTTTGAGTCCAAAAAATCGTATCTCGTTTCGTCTGCTCGTAGTTGAAATTATCAAATATTTTTTTTGCACCTAGAAGAATTTTAATTTTTTTCAATTTTTGTCAAACATTACGACGCATGCGTATTGAGACATTTATAAACTAGTAGTGGGGGGTGGTTCCAGAATCCCTCTATTTACACCACTACCACATTATACCATTTTCCAGAAAAAGAGTCCAGGGAAAACACAAGCTGCAAATTCTTCCCAAATCTTTAAAAATTCAGACCATTTCAATTGATTGAAAATTTATTATTATAAGCTTACAAGGAGAACACTTTAAAACATACTGTGATACTATTAATAAATAAACATTTTGTCACTTGAGATTGACAATTCGCTCAATAAAAGTCTTCCTCGGGGGCTTTACTTGTTCCAACTTGATTCTTCACCTGTTCCTGATTAGAATACATTGAAGCGACTTGTTGCGACGATGTAGCCTCTTCTGAAGTCTTATCCTCTCTAACACGGACAAATCTCGGGAATCGTAGCGAAATCCCCTTCTCAGAATCAACCTAAACCAGATTTTTTTCAATTGAAATTGAATTACACAAGGAGGCAAAAAAAAGTCATATCGTGACAACTTGACAAATTTTATATCATTTTGTTCGTCTCAGTGAGACAAATCAAATGCACTAAAAAAATTTCAAAAAGTCCACACACCTTGAACTAAATATTTTTTTTCTAATTTAAATGAATTTAAAATACTTTAACTTTAAAAAATCATTACTCAATAACTATTAGGCCGATTTCCTTCAAATAAAGACCATTCTAAAGGGACGGACTTGCCCTTTAGGATGATAGAAATTTGAAATTGAATATTGGCAAACTTTTTTTCGAACAGTGTTCGAAGAAGTTCGAAGTAATCTAAGAAAAACCCTACGAGTATTTTTTTTTTCTTCATCACCATCGTGTAGGGCATCTTTTTATTAGTAGGAATCCAAATTTTTAAAATAATATACCGAGTAGTTTTCAAGATATGATTTTTTGAAAAGTTATGTTTGCTCCATATAGGAGAAATGCATGTTAATCTTACTTAAAATTGCATTTTTATAGAAGTATTTGTTTTAAGGCTCTTCTCTTGCTTAAAAATGGTCAATTGCACCTTCTTTGTTCTAATTAGAATAAACAAAAACTGTTTCTTTACTTAAAACAAACAAAGAGTACCTGTATACTAATTAAAGCAAATAAAGAGTTTTTTTGTTCTAAAAATGATACTGATCATTGAGCAAAAAGGATCTAGAAATTTAAAGCAGTAGCTTTAAATATAAGAACAAATCTTTTTCAAATTAAATGACTTCCATTCGGATTCCAACTTGTTCACTTTGTTCTAGCTTTCTGAACTTTTTTTTGAAAATGTTCTCAGCAAATGCTTTCTCATCGCTTTCTACTGATGTTGAATGCAATAAGTCAGTTGCTTCGTGTGCAACTGTTATCACAACAACTACTACCTACAAGCTAACTGAAGCTAATTGTAGAATGTACCAACAAAATAAATCAGGTGACTTATTGCATTTAACATCACTCGAAAATGATGAGAAAGCATTTGCTCAGAACATTTTCAAAAAAAAGTTCAGAAAGCTAGAACAAAGTGAACAAGTCGAAATCTGAATGGAAAGTGATTTGATTTAAAAAAGATTTTCCCTTCTATTTAAGGCTCGTGCCTTAAACTTCTAGATCCTCTTTGCTCAATGATCAGTGGTCATTTTTACAACAAAAAAACTCTTTATTTGCTTTAATTAGTACGCAGGTACTCTTTATTTGTTTTAAGTAAACAAACAGTTTTTGTTTATTCTAATTAGAACAAAGAAGGTGCAATTGACCATTTTTAAGCAAAAGAAGAGTCTTAAAACAAATACTTTTATAAAAATGCTATTTTAAGTAAGATTAACATGCATTTCTCCTATATGAAGCAATGCGTGATTAGCAAACCATAACTTCAAAAAATCTTATCTTGAAAACTACTCGGTATATTTTTTTGAAAATTTGGATTACAACTAATAAAGAGATGCTCTACATGATGATGAAAAAAATTTACTCGTAGGATTTTGCTTAGGTTATTTCGATTTACTTCGCACTTCTTCGAACACTGTTCGAAGAAAAGTTTGCCAATATTCAATTTCAAATTTTATCATCCTAAAGGGCAAAGCCATCCCTTTAAAATGGTTTTTATTTGAAGGAAATCGGCCTAATAGTTATTGAGTAATGATTTTTTAAAGTTAAAGTATTAGGCAATTAATTAGATCAAAATTGACAATAATTTGTATAATATCGAAAGATTTAGCTTGTTTTTGAGTAATGACGTGTTTCAGGTCCAAAACAAGGCAAAAATAATGTCATTTTTGGTAGTATTTAACACAATTTTTGCGAATAAACTCGAAATAATCTAAAATAGAGTAATTTTGTAATAAACTTTGATCATTTTTGGCTTATTTTGACGATATCTTGAGGAATACACGAGTTTCTCGATCAAATTTAGTCATTTTTTGGCTTGTTTTAACGAAACCTTGTAAAAATAAGTTTTTGGCTTAAAAACGTGTAAGTGTTTGAAAATGGCAAAAATAATAAAAAAAAATTTAAACCCAATTTGGTGATCTTTGGGGAATTTATTGAAAATTTGCGTTTTTGATTGAAAAGCATGTCAAAAGGCTCAATAAAGGCAACAGTAATGTTATTTTTCAGTTAGTTTAGTGATTTTTCGAGATACTTTGGCGATTTTTTTGGCTTTTGAGCAAAATATATGATAAAAAAATTGCAAAATCTCGTTAAAAAACTGTTTATTCCTCAGAAACGTGTTTAAAGTCTCAAAAAAGGCAAAAATAATGTTATTTTTTAATTAATTTAATGATTTTTCCACATATTTGGAGTAAAACACAATATGAAACTTTTAAGGAAATTGGCGTTTTCTACCTTGTTTCTCTCAATTGCAATGAACAAGAAAGTCACTCATTTGACAGGTTTTTGTCAAAACGTGGGTTAAAAGTCGAAAAATAATAGACGAAAATTGACCTGTTTTGAGAAATTTTGCTCATGTTTAGGCAAGATTTTGTAAAAAAAGACGAAAACCCAACAAAATGGATCAAAATTAACGTTATTTTATACTGTTCTGAAAGATTTAGCTTGTTTTTGGAGCAATGCTTGATTAGCCAACCTTAACTTCAAAAAATCATATCTTGAAAACTACTCGGTATATTTTTTTGAAAATTTGGATTACAACTAATAAAGAGTTTAAAGAGATGCTCTATATGTTCTTAATGATGAAAAAAAAAATACTCGTAGGATTTTTCTTAGATTATTTCGATTTACTTCGAACACTGTTCAAAGAAAAGTTTGCCAATATTGAATTTCAAATTTCATATCATCCTAAAGGGCAAGCCCATCCCTTTAGAATAGTCTTTATTTGAAGGAAATCGGAATAATAGTTATTGAGTAATGATTTTTTAAAGTTAAAGTATTTTAAATTCATTTAAATTAGAAAAAAATTATTTAGTTCAAAGTGTGTGGACTTTTTGAAATTTTTTTTAGTGCATTTGATTTGTCTCACTGAGACGAACAAAATGATATAAAATTTGTCAAGTAGTCACGACATGACTTTTTTTTTGTCTCAACTTACGATTCCAATTCCGGCCCTGTGTACTGGAGATAGCGACAAATCGGCACATTTCACCTCCCACACTTGCACAGAATCGAACCAATGGTCAGGCTCATGACTCCCATCGAACCTATAATATGGTCTAGGACCCTCAATAATATGATTTTTCAAAAATTCCGAATGTTGTTGCAAAGCTTCGTCGGAAAATCCGGTACCAATTTTGCAAATGCTTTGAAACTCCTCGCTTTCTTGGTCGTAGCAAGCCAGGAGAAAGCCCCCGTAGGTTCCTGTGCGTTTCCCCTTGCCCAAATAGCCCCCAATCACCACCAAATCGAGAGTATCCCCACAACTATCCAAGTAGTCTTTTTTCAATTTCAACCAATTGTGAGAGCGTTTGGCGATTTCGTAAGTGGCTTCTTTCTCGAGAGTTTTCACCATTAAACCCTCGCAATTCCCTTTGATACTCTCCTCGAGGAATTCTTGCACTTCTTCCATGGTGGTTGTGTCTAAGGAAGTGACAAAACACCACTCACCTTCCACTTCTTTGAAATGCTCTTTGAGGAGATTTCGACGCTCAATGAAGGGTTTTTTCACCAAAGACTCGCCGTTTAAGTATAAAAGATCGAACATGAAGACGCAAACTTGCACTTTGATTGAGGATTCATCCGCGTCCTAGACACAATAAGTGAATTGGAAAGGAAAATTCCAAGTTGGAATATTACTTTACGCTTTCGAGTACTGAGGATTTGGAAGGGGAGGATCACTTTCTTTTCCCGATCCCAAGCCACTGCTTCACAATCAAGGACACAAGATTCAACCTTCTCATCCTTGCATTTGTCTATTCGAGATATTATATCCGGGTATTTAGAAGTGTTGTTTTCTTGATTACGACTAAATATGAAAACGTCTTTGCCACTTATGTGGATCTGAAAAGTAGAAGTAAAAATGGAATTTTGGGAAAAAGGCGTACAAGTCGATACAAAATTTTGTTTCATTGAGCAATTTGAAGCAAAAATTTAGAAAAAAAGGAACAAGTTATAGTTTATTTGACTTCTTTTTTCAAATTGTCATCAAAAAACCATTTAGAAAAACAAGAGATGACGACAAATTATGATTACAAAAAGTGTTTTTCTTTCTCTAATTAGAAAAATATTTTATTCAAATATTTTTCATAAATAGGCCCTAATAGAAATACTTTGTCTCAAATTTTGTAGATCAAAGAAAACCAAATAGATTTATACAGGATGTCCTGCCTTTATGATACATTATTTTATATATTTCAAGTGTTTTAAAGGTAAATTGACTATTTTTACGATTTTACTACTGCTCACCTTCAAAAACTCGAAAAATTAGTAATTTTTTAAACTTGATCCAATAACGTTTAATGCAGTCTTTAGGATCCCTAGAAATGTAAAAAACGTTATATGGATCAATTTTTAAGTTGAAAATTTTTTTAATTTTTGTCGAGATTTTGGTCTTTGCCACTTATGTGGATCTAAAAAGCAGAAGTAAAAATGAAATTTTGGGAAAAAGGCGGACAAGATACAAGATTTTGTTTTGAAATGCAAGTGTTTCATTGAAGGGCAGATGTTTTGATCTTGAGCAATTTGAAGCAAAAATTTAGAAAAAAAAAAAGAAGTTATAGTTTATTATTTGAAATTA